TGGACCAACTTTGCAAGAACGCTGTGGTTAAAAATAATTCACTACATTGTTGCTTTTGGCTTCAGTTTCAAGAATACTATACGTTTCACTTCAGCCAATGATTACCAATTGGATTCAGTTTCATAATCATTACAAGGTTACAGTTACAATTTTCAAAGTTTTATCTAGCAAACAAGTGGACAATGACAAAACAGGAAAAATCAGGATCATGAAAGTCTGCTACAAAGCACATTTGATACCAAAGCGCGCCGTCAGCCCGGAGCTCCATTCGCCAGTTTACGCAACACCGACATCACAACCTATCAAAGCAACGCAAATTAATAATTAGAACAGACCTAGCAGATAAATTGCAATTGTAAGTTAAGAGCCAAGCAGCCGTTGTTTGGTTATTACCCTACAGGAAGCCATGACCCGTTTAGTCAATCTTTACCAATATGGACAACTGCTAGCCATGACAACCGGACTGACCGTCAAAATCAGCAGCCTGAGATCCCTCAAGAGCAGCCTTCATCGGAGTTGGAGCTGAAACAACAAAGACCTGCAATGGAACAGATGCGAAGTAATATCTCACAAGATATTTTTGGACTGCTACAACACATTTGATTAGGAGAAAAAACTATATCACCATAGATGGTCCACAACCAGAATCTGAACAAAGTGGATTGCTCCTCAGTAAAGAGCTTCTGAAAATTACAGGGATATGTGCTCTGTTCCAGAGGCATGCGGTACGTCACCCCTGCATTCAGAAGAGCAATTAGTTTCTCACCATAGCAGTGGTCCAATTAATAATAACTGCAAGAAAAGAGAAGCAAAACCAAGTCAAATAGAAGGTACTAAGGCTTGACCTCAATTACAACGGTATCTTCCCGACACAATTAGAGCCACCAGATTTTGTTTTCGGCTACACGATAACCACGGACGGTAACAAAACTCATGAATCCCAGCCACCGGCTTTACAAGCATCAACTGCACACGCAATTACTCGCAATCTCAACGTCAGCAACAATTTGTCAGAAGCAGCGCATCAGCATCATCACGGTACAAGCGTCAATACAGCATTTCAACAACAACATTTCATACTTTGCAATCATCAGCAGAATAGCATTCGCAACAACGAGCGCGAACCGGAAGCAACAACTACTTTGTCAGCGGTAAGAGCCATAATCCGGCATGCCGTATCAACCTGTCGTACAAACTTTCTCCGCAACAGCAGTTCGATTGAACACTTAAACAACAGGCTCAACCCTTAAACTACCTGCATCATACACAAGAACAAGGATACAAATCAGAACACTAACACAGAGAAGGAGGGGCATTCACATACAATATATTCCGTTCTCAAGCTCAGAGGTTGTCCACACTAAGGATCATCATAAAAACAAACGTACACTATGCCATACATGAGGATGAAACAATAGATGATTCAAAGTTTGAGAAGGATGTTACTGATGAAAAATCTACTGCAGACTCGGAAAAGAATGATAGTCTATCTGCAGGTTTACTCGTACTTCCAACGCAAGATGTTCTTGAAGACTCTCCTCAAAATGGATCGCCTACAACAATTAATGCCAAAACTGATGTCTCAGATGATTTCTCTGCTAAAGACTCAAGTACAACGAATACGCTTTACGGTGAGAAATCATCTGACATTGGTGGGAATGGTTTGGTGTCTGTCTCCCCTCAACTTGAAGAACTTGTTGATCGAACTTTGGGCCTTGGATCTGTTGCCAAATCAAGTAAAGGTTATGCAGCTGAAAACTCTCAGGTTGACTTAAGCATTGAACACTATTTGGAACCAAGGAAACCTGCGGTAAGGGATGAACCATATCGGTTTGTCATGCCACCAGTTTTGCATACGCCCTGCAATTACATACTTCATCAATTGAATGACTTAGGAGACGAACAAGTAAATCACATGTTAACTCCAGCAAAATCAGACGGAATACTCGAAGTATGCGTTATCTACCTGAGCAAAGCTGCATCAAAATCAACAACACGATATTGCTAGCCGCAAACACCGAACACATCAGTCGCAAAAAGACTTCCTTGCACCCGCTACTTGGAATTCGCTCTGGGCTGTTAGCTTTCTGTGGCCCAAAACAACCGCTAATTACACCTGCCAAGATCATAACCTCAAGTTAGTAAACCAACAAGGAATATTCCATAAAAGATCCAAAGAATATCCGAATCAAAGATGAGATTTTCGTTCAAACAGACAATTAAGGGCTTTGAGACGAAGAAGGAAATTGTCTCAAATCTTATCAGAACGGAATTGGAAAACCCCAATCTACAATCAATCAAGCATTTAAGACCTTTAATCAGATTTTAAAATGCAAATCTCAGTAAAGCCTATATAAGATGGAGGGATTCGATATGCGAAAGGGGACGAATTCACAACAAACTCAAAAAAACCCTAGGTTCAAAAGGGAACTTATCTGGTGTTAATTTCGAATTCGCAAAGCCGCCGTGCTCCTCGTCGAAACCATCCGACGTCTTCCACCGGCAACCACCCTCGCGAACTGTGACCGCCGTCGGTGAAACGATCCCTGGTCGATCCAACTGCATCTAGTCGGAAGCCACCGCGAGAAGCTTCCGCCTTCATCCACAACTTGCGGTAACCACTATGTTTGAGCCAATCTGCTGAAGCTTTTGATATGTCTTTCTGTGTTTCAGGTTTTGAGCGCGAGGAAAAGGGAGAAGACGGGCGATCGGAGACGAAAGGGGGGGAATTTGGGGGATTAGGGTTTTCTCTCTGTCTTTTTTTTTATTTTTTTTTATTCATTTTGTAATACATTTAAAACACGTACACACCACGTACACACACACATCACCACTAACCTCATCCTTGGTCACCGTTAACTTTTTTTAAATCCCTTAACTAACCTTTAATTAACATTTAAAAATTGAATTAATCCTAAGTTAGTGATATAATCTCTCGTTAAAATAATTTAACATTTTTAGATATTTTATTTTAAAAAAACAAATAAACCAGTTTTTTTTTATTAATCTAAACTTAGTAAACTTTTTTTTTATTATTAGTAATAACTCAATTTTTTTCTTTATTATAATCAACTCTTATCAGCTTATTAATAAATTAATATTCACTTATATTTTTATAATTCCAATTAATCAATCCTTTTATCCTAGTCCAAAAACTCTTTTTAATCATTTTTTTAAATCAATTAATTTAAATGATAACCTTTCATAATTTACTTAAAACCTTTTATATTCTACTAATTCCTTCAATAATATAATGAAATGCTTTTATTCATTTTTCTACATACTAACAACTTTCCTTTTTTTAAAGAATATTAAAACCTATTTTATAATAAAATCTGTTATTTATAATTTAATCCAATCTAATATTTATTTAACAATAAAACTGCTTTCTTAATAAACAAATAAATAATTTATTTATTAAAGCTATTTCTATCCGATCCAATATCATTAAAATCATTATCTTTTTTAATCTAATTCAACACTTTTCTTAAAACAAATAAATAACTTTTTTCCTAAAATCAACTTCATCAATTAATAAAACTTTTATAATAAAATCAATTCATATAAATCAATCAACATTTTCTTATAATTAAAACGAAAATAATCAACAGCGTGAAATACAATTAATCGTGCACTTCACGACACTTGCACTTACACCTAGCGCTTTCATGCGTACGCATTAGTGATCTTTATCTGCTTTATCTTATTCACGATGCACACACACTCACTTAGCGTTTTCATGCGTATGTGTATGGTTTATCTTTCTGCAATTTACTCTTCTGCAATTTATTCTATTGCATTTACATTATCATATTTATCTATTATTGCATTGCATTCCGTCCAAAGGAAAACCCTACACATAATTCAACGTTGTGTGTAGTTGCACATCATTTGCATCATATTCCCTTCGATCCTTGATTCTTCAAGTTGATCATTTAAGCTTAGGACCTACCCCATAGGAAGGACCTTGTCTTTATCTTTACAACTTAGACAAAACAATCAAACACAACACAACATCTTTCAAACACATTAGAGAATAGATGTTAATCATCTTAAGTGAGATATAATCTCCACCCCCACAACAATACAATCAAACATGTAGGGACTTTGCCTTAAGAGTGATAAAGGCATACTTGGCGACCATCCGAGTATTTAAGACCTTTTCTTAAGATGATGCAAAGACCATTTCCTACGACCCCCTTTTTACATTTGTGGCGGTTATCTCTCCCTTAATATGAAGACTCGTCTCTTCTCCTAAACCCAATCAACCAACTACCCTAAACCCGTAGGAACTTTAACCACAGTCAAAGGACTCCTCTAACCCTTTAGGGTGAACTACAACATACTCTGATTCCACTCCCGTAAGGATATGTAGGCATAAGATGCGACATCTTATCGAGTATACTTAGAAATAAACCCCTAGGGTCATTAAACCATTAAGCAGATAAACCATAGCAGTAAACAAACATAAAACAAGAGGTTCCTGTAGAGTACTACAGAAACTTAGGATGCTAGTACCTTCCCTAAGTTTAACCAACCCCCGAACCTAAACAACCTAGCTTGCATTTGCATTGCATTGTGGGAATTTCGATCTTTATCCCTTCCTTTGGACAAATCAAAGTTCGGTTGCAAAAAATGAATTAAAGATTCAAACTAATCAATAGTTTGGTATCCGATTTTCACCGCGACAGAACCCAATGATTTCTATTTACAAAACCAATGCAGTAAATGGATACATTAGGTGAATGTGACATCGTCATATGAAAGAAAGTTAAAATAGGATAACCCAATGAGACAAGAATGACGTTATACCAATTTTCTATCACATAACTCATGTTTGTTAATTTCATCCATTTCTCTAGTGGTTGAAAACCTAAAGATGATATCATCAAGGATACTCTCATTTTTGGTAAGCGACTTCCAAATAATTTCTCATAAAAACAGCTTTTGGAACCTCTAATTTCATTATCCAAATCACGACGAACCATTGACCAATCATCCTAACCATATCCATGAAATGATGCAATGACTATAAAACCACAATTTCCATCACTCTTAACATTAACGATGTCATCAATAAATGGTCTAATATGATCTGGAAATTTTACAATGCACTTATTAGATGGTTTCTTCTTTGGGGTTTGGGATAACTGTCAACATGGATTTTTTTAAAAAAAATTTTAGAATTGATATGTGCTTGATCAACATACTCATGATATGAAGGATCATGATAGACATCATATCCCGCAGGTTTCTTCCCTTTTCTCTTTACTCCTTCAAGCGGTGGACACATCCTTGTTGTAGTGGGGTAAGCAATTTTACACACCTTGCTTTTTAGTGCTCTTTTTCCTGCAACATCGAATGACTTGAACCTTTTCCACAATGCATCAATTGCATTGGTTATGTACACCTCTAATCCATCATACGTATATACCTCTTTATCACCTTCCATGTTGAGCTTCCTCCAATAGATATGAATAACATCAATTGATATTGGTTCACCACTTAATATGTATGCCCCTAACTCATAAGCACCAGCTAACCCGTATACTTTTCTATGAGTACATCCATACATTTGGGTGTTGTTACCCACCATGTCAACCCTCAACCACTCTTCAGCAATGTTTCTCAAAGCAGCTTTTGATACTGATCCATGCAAATTCCCATAAAAGGATTAGTGTGTGCATGCTCAACTTCATAAAAAATATTATAAAATGAAGCTCGAATATTGCCCAATTGCACCTTGATATTGTTATTCATAGCCTCCTAACATTTGCACATATCACCTAAAATGTACTTCAACATCTGCTTTAGTTTCTAATGCGTAGACTCGACCCAAAAAATCAGTATCCTTAATATTAAGATTAACAAACTATGGTTAAAATCAAACAACTTACCTATTAGTGGTGGTGTTGCCCAAATGCAACACTTTATTGATTCAAGCTTCAACAAATCTATGCCTATGATGCATCAACCATATGTCTTTCACATAATCTAAAACTGGTCTAAAATCCACACATGTGTGCTCAACAACGTCAGGTTTACAACATATTCATATACACCGTTGTAATAGGTTAAAATTTTCGCGCCTAGTGTGTAGCTGGATTTATAAACAGTAATTTAATGACGATTGTCTTAAAAAACCGTAGTAATAAATGATGTGTAACAAGCTTCGATTCCCAGGAACTACTTTTTTTCTCCATTTTTTAGACTACATTAAGCGTGTGTCACTTAAGTCCATTAATTAAAAAATAAATTATAAATGATTCTACAACGGTGAAGTAAACCAACCGTTGTTAGAGGACTTACAATTCCACGACAGCTGGGTTGTCCAACCGTTATGATATAATTTTCTATTATTTAAAATATAATTACAACTATTCTTGTAAACCGAAGAAAAGTGATATTTTTTAATATATAAACGAAAGTATTTGTTGCCCAGTTCATAACAGTTGTTTCTCTCTAAAGAAAACCCTAACACAACCCTCTCATCTCATGAATCTTAACCAATATTATAAAAAGTGAATGGCAAAAAGAAGCTTAAAAGATATATGACATGAGCAACGTCCGGCACAAACTCCTACTGCGGCGAAGATGGTATGTTCTCCTGCTCTCTTCTTTCTACTCTTCTTCTGGATGTTGTTGATGTTTAGAATTTAGGATTATTGTTTTAGGGTTTGGTTTTAGGATGCTTTGGAAAACATTATGTTGTTGATGTTTTAGGGTTAATTTTGAAGTTTGTTGTGTTTCCTTGTAGATACATGGTGATGATGGTGGTAGCAAGCGTATGGTAGCAGCTAGCATATAGTATGGTGATGTACATATGGTTTTTGTTGCTATGGAAAAAAATATGAGAAGTATGAAGTTATTTTATAAACTTCGTCCACCTTATATTTTTTCTTCATAACATCACAAACTAGATGAACTTAATATATCTTGATTTGTTACAGTTCCATGCTTATTTTCAATAAAGGTGTGCCATTGACTCAATGTATCTTGATTTGTTACAACTTCACTTATGGTTTTATTTCAACTATAGTTGAATTTTTTTTAATACTAACTATTTTATTTTATTTGAAATAGATGAAGCTGTATAGTAAAGATGATACATGGTGATGATGATGGTGGTAACAAGCGTATAGTATGAGTTGATAAGGTACATATGGTTTGTGTAGCATTGGAAAAAAAATACAAGAAGTATGAAGTCATTGTGATATTGTATGTTGTTAGTGTTTTGTTACTAAAATAATGTATGCTTTTTTTTATTGTTATGCATGGATTTGTTGTGTTGTTGCATGTTGTTGTTGACAAATGTTCTCAAAACAAGAACAAAACATTGCTAAGTCACGAGAAAGAGGCTTCTTGTGACTTAGAAATGTTTTATTCTTTAAATTCTTATATAGGTTGACAGTAGATGAAGTTTAGTTTATTATATAATATGTATATTGTTTGTTTCACTAACCTTTTAATGAAAATGCAATCATTTAAACTGACATAGAAACTTATAATCTGAAAATTAAGTTGTATTTGAAAACCAACCTATATCAACCAATATTTTCCTAATTGCATTCGTCTCATTCTGCACATTTTATGTTCCTTAACACATAATATATGATTCAATGGTTTGTTTGCTTCAATACATCGATATCTACAATTCTACTTTACCTCGTCGTCGTCGCTTATCACCGTGATTATTAAGATCATGATTGTTATGATGATAAGTCATAATAACAACAACGACGAGGTAAAGTAGAATTGTAGATATTGATGTATTGAAGCAAACAAACCATTGAATGATATATGTGTTAGCGAACATAAAATGTGCATGATGAGACACATGCAATTCGAAATATAATGGTGTGTTTAAGTTGGTTTTCAAGAATAGTTTAATTTTCAGATAATATAGTTCTTTGCCAATTTTAATGGTTGTATTTCTTTAATGAGGTGTATGATAAAAACAAGCAATATATATTGATATATAATAAACTATGGGTACATTCCACAACGATTTTCTAGATTAATCGTGACCTAATGTGATTTATTTGTTGTTGTTGGGTTTTGAACCCAATAAAGTATATATCACAACGGTTATTAAGCATAACCGTTGTGATATACCGCGCACTTTCCAGAATATAACAACGGTCTCAAGGCCGTGATTATAAGTAGCACATATGCGACAACACTCTACATAACAACACATTGATTTACGTGATTATATGTATTTTCCAATCGTTGTTAAATGGGTTTTCCATAGTAGTGTCATTAGCACTTGATGTGAAATCAACAAAGCACATTAACTGTCCTTGGAAATATTGTTTCAATTGCTTTCATCAAAGCAAGATCTCTATCCGTTAAAGTCATTTGTGGCCATAACCCTTGCTTAGTGAACAACTGTTTCAACATATCTAATACCCGGCATAAATTCTATGTTTGCTCAGATTCCATATAGGCAAATGCAACAACAAATGTTAACTCAGTTGATGTCATACCAACTACTTCAAACAAATATTTTCTGTACTTATTTCTTTTGTATGTATTGTCCATAATCAACACATTAGGAAACATATTCAACAACTTCACTGATTCTAGATGGGCCTAGAAGATATCTCTCATAACTTCTGACTCATCTTTTTTCCTACTCTAATAAACATAATCAGAATCCTCAATAAACTTAAACAAATGTTGCATTTCCGTTCGAGGACCCCTGACGTCTTTTAGAATCTTACTCTTATGTTTATATATTTGGGTGATTTGAGTCACATTCTCCATATATCATTCTTGCAATGAAAACAATATGTTGTGAGGACAAAGCCTAATATACTATACACATGTGTTTCGATGATGTCAAAACGCAACCACATGGAAGAATCGGTACTTGGCATTATCACCACAAGGCATAAGCATACCTTATCTCTTTCGTCTCATTTGCTTGCATGTTGTGTCATCAAATTAGCGTCATTCGAGTCAAACATCATTGGTGGATTATGTGTTGTATCTAGAATTGTCAAAAACATAAAAATAGGCATTTTTGCAAAATACAGGTCTTTGAGTCGACCACTCATTTTGCTCCGGTCGAATCATAGAAGGTGTCTATAAAGTGTATTTTCCACGGGTTGGCGCACGTCTACCTCCGGTCGACGCATACTGATTGTTATTTTGTTTGTCTAAAAATACAGACTTTGCATCGACGCATCGTCCTGTTTTGGTCGACGCATAGCATGTTACTTTGCATAGCCTGTTCTGTCTGGGGAGTTCCGGTCGACCACTCCTTTTGTATGGTCGATCATTCGCTGTCTTTTCTGCATAATTCTGGTCTTTCCACTTATTTTGGAAAGTGGTTTTGTTTGTTACTTTTTGGCATACCATAAATAGAAAGTTGCTCATTTTCATCAACTACATTTGAATCAATTGGAAAACAAGAAAAGTAAAAGAGGTGCCATTAGTTTTCATCATGTTCATCTTCCACATTTCATACCACAACAATTACACACAATAATTCTTGATGTGCATTATGGATTGTTCAAGGTGATAACGTCTGAAGCCGTTGATTGGGAATCCGGTTCGGGTTGAGTTTTTGGCAGGTTTTTCTTGAATAAAACCTTAAGGGTTTTGTCCTCCAAGATTCACTGAATTTGGGAGTTTTTGGTACGAATCTTCTCAACATATATTCAGCTGAGCGAAGGTGATCGAGGAGCGGTGGGTTCCGTCGATATAGTAGCAGGAATCGGTGAATTGTCAAGGAGAGGTTCGGGTTCGATTAACAAGTGTTTGATATCAGTCGGGCTAGGGTTTGAAAATGCAAGGTTGTTCAATCAAGGAGCTGTAATCGGAGGTTCATCCACAAGCAATCGAAGGACTCAATTCGACTCGAATCAAGGGACAAGAAGAGAAAGCATATTCAACAACAAGGGAGTTTGTTTGTTCATTTGCTTGTCTATTCTTGTATAAACGATTCAACAACAGGTTACGTTTATATTATACGAGCTCAATTCTATTGTTAGAATTGAGGGCAGATGTACCCCGAAGCGAGGACGGCGGGGGAACTGCCTCAACAAATCTTTGTGTCTTTTACTTTCCGCATATTCATTTTGCTTAATATTTGCTTGAATTTAGTTCAAACAATAATATCGAATTAATGACTGTTGAGTAAGTGCTGAAGTAATTTTAACTATAGTACAATAGTTTATTGTACAAGGAAACTAGTGCTACTTACTCAAGGCCGAAATCACTTGGAGTGCTCCGCACGCCAAGTGTTTGATCAATTGTCTGAACCAAAATTTTCTTGTGCTATCCAATTATTTTGTTGGCATATTAATGTAGAAGCACATTTCAATCTCAAGGTTTTGATGATGTCAACAAAGACTCAAATCTCATTCCATGATTGCAAGCAAAAAGTCGAAGCTTTCAAACTTTATCAAGATACTTACACTATATACACTGAAGATAAAACCA